GGGGGGGGGGGGGGGGGGGAGGGAGGTGTTTGACGTCGTTGTTTTAAGCACCTTTTGGAATACACATATTTTTCGAGATTAGTAAAAGTCATTATTAGGATAGTAAAACCATTTTTATGTTTTTTCTTTCATTAGAATTTATTTATTAATTTTTTAACCTCTTCAATTTTTATCCTTTTGCTCGTTTTCTGTTTACTCCGTTACTCGTTACTGCGTTACTCTGGTTAGTAATACCCCTGCTGGAACACATGAATAGGAAGACAATACAGTGGAAATAGAGGATATTACATGGCCGCGCGGAGATAGGAAATTTCTCTTCGAGTGCCGAAAAATATTACGAGTGAAATATTTTTTCAACACGAGAAGAGAATTGTGTATCTCCAAGCGGCCATGTAATGTTCTATTTATTATATAAACACCAATGAAAACCAAACCATTTCACTTTAATAGTTTTTTGGTGTAAAAGGCGCGATTTATCATGTAGCCATAGCAACGCTGACATTTTCACATGTGAAGATATCAAGTTTTCTTGCGAAATCTCACCTGGTATTTCATTGGTGTTTATATAATAAATCTCTATCTTCGTGATAATATTTCCCTCCAATTTTGCTGGTAATAAAAGTAATTAATTCAGTTTTCTGCATTTATTCTGTTTCATGTACTCGAACAGCATAAATAAAACAAAACCAACCTTCTCATTAGTGAGTGAATTTCCATATTTTGATTTCATCTCCCGCACACACTTGGAACAAAATGGCCGACATTTACATGCACTATATGCACTATCACAAAGGCTGCTGGGCCTGTAAACATGCTCTTCTAAGCCTCAACCTCGTCCCCAGGGTCTTCTCGCTTTTCAATATGGCGGCGGCATTTTGGAAAGCGAGAAGACCCTGGGATGAGGTTGGCTTCGCCTGGGGCCAAAGAGGCCTATTGAGGCGGGGTGGAGGGGAGGGTGAGGTATGAGTGATTTCCTCAAAAAATATCCTGCAGAGAAAGTGCAGACTGTTTTCGAAGGGAGAAAAATTCTTGCAAGGAAATACCTGGCGAAAAAAATTCCTACACTTAAAAAAATATAGTTCATGGCCAGGAGCCCATATAAAGTTCTATCACTAGAGGCTTGGGGCAAAATATTCTTAAACAAACCAAATCACCCATAAACTACCCCCCCCCTCTCCGCCTCAAAAGTCAAATAGTCGGCCCTAATAATAAAACATTTGCAACTTTTACAAGTGTAGATACTGATTTTAGACTCTGCAAATCCCGTTACACACACAGAATTTTCAATTTCCCAGCAACACTTTCCTTCCAAGGACATATTATTTTTTCTAAATCTCCCAGCCAGCAAACATCTGCCTGAAGAACAGCTATTTTGAAGAACAGAGCCATTGGCTGCCCTGTATTTTAAATGACGCCCATGATTTTACAAGGGAGGATTCGAAATATAGCATTGCAACACTCTTGCGACATAGTTCTGAATTGTCACAACATTGTTTCAATATTGTTTTCGCTCACAACCGCTTTCCAAAGAGTTCTTTATTTCTCTCGTGAATTTCCGTTACGTTCACCCATCGGTTATTCAACAACAGGGGCTAGATTTTCTTGCGCGTAGGCCCCAAGCGACTGTGTTCGTGTTTTTTCATTTCCTCGACCACTAATCACAAGTTCATGCTCGGAAAGTGACTCCTTCCGCCCAGCCGAGTTTTCAGCTGCTACTGAAGTGAACGTAATGTTTTCACACGGTATTCTGGATGTACCGCAAGCAGTGCAGTTCTGTTCGCTCTCTTGGTTCTGAGATCCAGCGAGAGAAGTGTTCTCTTCATCCGAATTTCTTCGCTTTCTTTTCAGGTAGAGTGTCAATAATAATAAAGTCATCATTAGACCAACGATAGTTGACACACCGGCTACCACAAGCAAAGTGGATGGAGAATCTGCCATAAAAAAAGTACATAAATGCTAAATTAGTTTAAGTTAATGAATCAAAATGGATTTCATCACTTCGACTGGTTGCTTGTTTCGTGACAATTAGCTGCTATGGTCACGAGAAATGAATTCTTTGCCCTTTTTTTCAAAAACTGTCGAATGCTACTGCCAAGCGCACAACCTGTGTACAGTCGCCCCTCCCCGAAAAAGGGGGCTGCTGTACAAGGGCTGCCACAAGCCGCGAATGTTTTATTACAATTACTATCAGCATAGACATAAATTTTAATTAAAATCAATGATGGCGGCCATTTATAAGAGTTTCATTCTAAAAAAGGCTGCAATCCATCGTTTCAGCAAGAAATCTAGTAAACCGATGACCGAGATGAACTGAGCCAGTTCAGTTATCGGCTCCTGGCCAAATGCATAACACATTTTATCATTCGATGCTAATATTTCGTCCTTTTCATTGGCCGAGAGCCCACCACGTGACCAGCGAATAACTGTCTACAAATAAAAGCCTGCTCATGCACAATGTCCTCCGACTGTGTTTGGCTGCAAATAATATTCTGCTCATGCGTAAATGAAACCCGTATCAAGAAAAGCGACCTGAATTCGAGAACAATAGGTATTGTTTTGTATTGTTATTTTTGATCGTTTCTTGCCTATTAAGGACAAAAATGACCAACGTGAAACAATAGCTTTTACGCGCGGCAAATTTCAACATTACCGATTACTTCTTTCCGATGAGATTTGAATTTTCGGCGGGACCGAAGTAAGGAGCAATTTCACCTTAGGGGGTGGGTAGGAGTGTCAGTTGACTGGCGAAACGGACGACGCAGTAGTGAGGGGTGAGGCAAGTGCCGAACAGACTAGACGAACAAACCCGAACTGTACTGTTTATTTTGCGCTTCGCGTACTGGCTGCGAATTTTAAGAAAACATACTTCATTTTTTATGGTAAACATCGTAGGAACAATTCTAAGGAACNGATCGTTTCTTGCCTATTAAGGACAAAAATGACCAACGTGAAACAATAGCTTTTACGCGCGGCAAATTTCAACATTACCGTTTACTTCTTTCCGATGAGATTTGAATTTTCGGCGGGACCGAAGTAAGGAGCAATTTCACCTTAGGGGGTGGGTAGGAGTGTCAGTTGACTGGCGAAACGGACGACGCAGTAGTGAGGGGTGAGGCAAGTGCCGAACAGACTAGACGAACAAACCCGAACTGTACTGTTTATTTTGCGCTTCGCGTACTGGCTGCGAATTTTAAGAAAACATACTTCATTTTTTATGGTAAACATCGTAGGAACAATTCTAAGGAACTTTAACCACGGATTGAATCGAAGGAGCCGAGAACTTACAATTCAGGCCTCAAAGTACGGACTGCGCGCGCAGGTGTCTAGGTCTCTTTCTGCGATCCTGTTTCGATTTAAAGTGCAAAAACAGGGTCGTAAAGTAGTATCGGCCTAAAATACTGAAGCGTAACCTCAATGTGTTTTAAAGAATCTGAAGCAGTACGGACATCATGCTGGTGCTTACATGGTATGGATTTTGGTAGCGCGCAGAATGCAAATTAATTTCTTCTTTCTCTTTAGAAGTGTCTTAGCAAAGCGCGAAGGACCGGCATAAAATGATCTGAGCGCCGCAATTTTTTTGGTTATTTTGTATCCAACCCCGTCACTTTTGCACGATGACAAATAGAACGATTGCGGGAGCCACCGCGGATTATTTTGCAGTGTACTCGATGAAAAAATGAGCTTAACTTCTAAACGTAAAAAGGTTAAGATTTTAGTTCACTGTTTCGATGCTTATAGTTGTGTGATTAAGAACCTGAAGCAAAAACAAATTAAGTAAAAGACTGCTCTCAGCTCCGCACGGACTAAATTTGTACGAAGTTCAACTTCTCCCGTCGGTACCCTAGTGGAGCATCATTCTTCACAGCGCAATGTAGCACTCCCTACCTCCCTGGTTCGCAAGTTTGTCACGCCGAAGGTTTCCGATTAATTCAAACAAACTTCGGCTTGGTCTGGGCAGGTGTCACCTGGAACAAAGGGCCTTTTGTTTGAACGTTAATTGGCAAATTCAGGTCGGTAAAATGGGTCATTTCTTGATACGACCATACTTTTCTCCTTCTTGCGATCGCTCTTTACTTGAATGACAGATCGCTTCGCTCCCCGAAGATATTCATTAAAAACCTAACTCGGTCATCGAATGATAAAACGATTATTCAACTCGATTGTTGATCTGGCAGATCAATTATTTGCATCAGCCTTCGGTTTCGGTAAAGAATTGACCTGCTCTCCACTGACAAATCATGACATTTTGCTCAGCCTCGTCCAATAATTGTTTAATAACGTCTGCCGTAAAAATAAAGAGTTTAAAAGGATTACAGATCAGACGTTAGACGTCACTTGAGATTTATAAAACCCGGGTGGTAATTAGATCTTATTAGCAACGAGGCTCATTAGAAAGTAATTTGATTACCGTGATCCTGTAAATTATTGTTTCTTCGGCCCCCTGGAGATCAGCACACCAATATTTGGGTCTCCTGTGCTTCCTTGGGTGTCCTGTCGCTATTCAGGCGTTACAATCTCGATTTTTTGTTTGTCGGATGATTTTTAGCCAAAATGGACAGTGGCGCCATCGCATGACTTAAATATAAATCGTAACACTCTTATTGCGAGCAAACAGTTTCAAATCATTTTCGTATGACTTTAAGACCTAAGACCTTAGACTTGTGATTATAGGACTCTCGTGAAGTCCTCTACAGGCTATTAATTGACCCAATGAAGGAGACTGTGATCAGCAAAAAGTGTACGTCAGTACATCGATTCTCAAATGGTGCCTACTGCTCAGCATGCATCCTCACATGTTTTTTCTATTTTAACATAGTGTTTTAGCGAAAACGCGTAGGAACCATAATTTTAAGACAAGACCTAAGAAGACACGAACAAATTACTTTAAATTTTCATTTTTCAATCGCTATTTAACAGGCTGGAATAGTATTCCATCGAACATTATGCACGCACCTTCATTAAGCAGTTTTAAGTCGTATCTATTGGATCATTTGTGTCAATTTCAAATCAGGTGTAACTCATGAGTGACAAGTATGCAATTTTAAAATCAGGTTAGTTTTGGGCCGCATTTAAGTTTTACTTCTTAAGTTTTAGTATGTTTAATATCGGAGGATATTCTTTGTACGGGAATTTAGTTTCCCCCAATTATTCTCCAGTCATGCACTTTTTGTATTTTCTGTAATATTATTTATTTACTTGTATTTGCATGACAAAGTATTATTAAACTTAACTTAAACTATCTACTCGTCCCATTATACCTGCAATTGGTAATCTCTACTCAATATTTATATCAACCAGTCTTACCTCTCACAGCCTTATACGTTGCCTTAAACTTGATTGACCTGTATCCATTTGTTTTAAGCCTGATCCACATTTCGCTGCCACTAGAAGAGAGCTTCTGAGGTCTTGTTTTACTACCTTATTATAGGAAATGAACGCTCCATGAAATTAAGGTATTGGAAATTAACGCGACTTAAATTAACGCGAATTTAATTGAAAACGACTTTCGAATAAAGAAAATTAACGCGAAAGAGGAGGTAGAGTTTCATAATAAAGGAAATTAACGCGATTAAGACACAGCTTGTGGAGGCAACTGGAACAAATTTATTTCAACACTGGATGCAAAAAAATCCAAAACTGAACAAAAGTGAGCTGACATCACTTCTGACAGCGACAACGATGAAGATGAACTCGAAATATTGTAAACCTTCGCGTTAGCTTTTGTGAAAGATGAAAAAATAAAGGGTAAATGGAAAGAACGAAAGCTTGTCGTTAATGTTTTTTAGGTGCCTGGACAGGTTCCAAAATTGGGTTTAAAATACTGGAAATTTAGAGAGCGGAAATTAAAGCGGCACTTAATTAACGTCGCGGAAATTAACGCTCAACAAAATTAACACGACTTAAATTAACGCGAATTTTAACGATTCGCGTTAATTTCATGGAGCGTTAATTTCCTATAATAAGGTAGTCTGCTACACAGCCGTTTTTAGTGTCGTCACGCAACGCTGGGGAGGAGCGTTGCGTGACGACACTAAAAACGGCTGTGTAGCAGACTAAGTTGAACCCACCAGGGACCAAGGTCCCAACTGGTATTGTTTCCAGGGCTAATAAGGCAGACAAAACCTCCCACCACATTGAAGCAAAACACTTGGTGCTAATGTACTACAACAACTGCTACTGTTATTTCGCTGACAACAACTGAAAAAAAAGGTAACGACTGTATAATAGGCAAGTGGCTAATCAGTTCCGATGCTATCCCGGTTTCCGCAGCATGAGGCACCTAGGGGTATAGCTATACTCCCCTCCCGGATGGAATGTTCGTCTATTACAAGCTGACGTTTAGACTTGCCAGAAGTCGGCCTGTCATACGTTCTTAAAAGTGAGCGAAGCGAGCCTCAATTAATAAGGTCGCGCAGCGACTGAGCAAGTGACGAAGTCTCGAGGTCGACTCGAATGGATTTGAATTATACTATAAATATTCACGCGGGAAAAAGATGATTGACATATGCCATGTCGAGAGCGGCGTGAAAATATTACTCACTGTCCTATTGGTCAATTGTCATGTCGTCAGCGGTAAAATTTTGGACTTTCTAATTTCGCGCCAAACAGGTTTAAAAAGTCCTTTCAAATGGCACAAACAATCAGGAAAAACTAAATGGAGGACTTTTTAGAAAGTCTTACGTTACGGTACCCCAAGCAGTATACCTCCAGCAAACATTTAGAGCACTTGGGTAAAAAGTATTATAGTGAGGAAAAGTCAGGGGGATGTACTCCCTATATGTGGAAGGTCCACCCAAAGGTGTGCCTTTTTCAGGCTTCTGATATGCAAAGGAGGAGTAATCTCACGTTTTTGTTAGTCACTCGTGGCTCTTAGGAAAGAAGGACAACCGCTCGCGGTCTATTTAGGTATTTAAAAGGCCTTAGATTTAAAATATATCGACGCAACTGATGGCCGTATCAGTTTAATTTGTTCATGAAAAGATGATCTACGATTAGCAGATATATGCAAGGGACATCAGTTTTCAACAGAAGTATACTAAAAGGGTACCTTGTTTGTCAAAAGTAGTATATAGAAGGAGAAAGGGTTGCACCTTCCATACAAAACAAGTCAGTTTGTTGTCTAAGCAAACATTGCGACGGCGAGGTGCCAACCTGTCGGCCACCACGCTTTCAACGACAACAACTGAGGGAACTACTAATACCACCTCTATCCCACTGCCACTACCACCAGCACTACCCACCATTGCCACTGCATCTTCTACCACCACTACCACGACCACCACCACTGTCACTACCACTGCCACTGCCACTGCAATTTCTATCAGCACTACCTCTACCCACCACTGGCACTGTATCTTCTACCACCTCTACCACTACCACCACCACTGTCTCTACCACTGCCACTGCAATTTCTATCGCCACTACGACTGCACCTTCTACCACCACTACTACTACTTCCACCACTGTCACTTAACTATTGCCACTGCAACTTCTATTACCACCACTACCACTGCTACTACATCTACTTTAGCACTAAAATTTACCGTAGTCCAACGGCAATAACAGGAACATTTAAGGTCGATCATGTCATCTGCTGACGAAAAAATAGGGCCACCTTAAACCACGCAAAGTAAACATTATATTGTCGAGAGAAATCACAGCTTTTCACCTTTTTATCGAAATGGTCACAGAAAAGACATTCAACAGCTACTAATTTACGACGAAGACGCAGCCATCTCATAAAACCATCCTACAAAACCCCCAACATATTGAGCTTGAAAATTGCGCACCAGTGTTTGAGTTTCACGGTCTAAGCAGTTATGTAACTAACAATTACTGCAGAAGGAAATCGCCCCTTGGGGCGGATATGACCTCGAGACTACCTCTGTATACTCTTTCTTTAACAAAAAGGCACGCTATCAAACAACTCGAAGAGCAGAGAGCAATATCGTGTTTTCTCAGTTAGCCGGATGGGCACGGCATTTTTTTAAAATCTGCTCTCTTTTAAAGAAAGGTTTCTTATTCAATGTTCTTTCCAGCTGAGTTTGCTACCCTTTAACCTAAAGTTTTTAAACCGATGAAATCAGTGCCACCAGGAGACCACATACATGTCTGACAGGCTTCCTTACAACTTCCTGTTTAGACTAAGCTTTGAACAGACAAAACCGGCAAATAAAGAGAGAAAATTTCCGTGTGGGGTTACGCGGGGTAATTTACCCGTACGCGTAGCCGTAAAATAAAATATTAGTAAATTGCCCCTTATCCCGGAGAAAAGGGTTGGCTAGAACCCGTTAGAAAGTTGATGCCATCATCACATATGGGAAATAATGGTCACTTTTTATAGGCTACATGGCAAACATTTCCACCCATCCGTACCCGTAGGCAGAAACGGTGTATGATTTAGCTTAAGCTGAAAACGAATCTCTCTTTGGTATTAGTTTACTGAAACAAAATTTAAATGGTGTAATGCTAGAGAAACTGTGATGGCAACGAGAACGGTAAAAAACAACAGCAAAAGGAAAAATTAGAAAAAAAGAAACAACAACTTTGCACGTGTAGCACACTCTTTTTGTACATTTCTTTACCGTTGTTTTGCAGTGCTACAACGTGAAGCTCCTAGTTGCACGTTTTATGGAGGAAATGTTCTATATGTGTTCCTGTTCAGTGCTTTTTCACTGCCGCTAATTTTCATAGTTTTGACCTTGGTGGCCGCTGGCATTTCTCATTTTCTCACCGCAGCTATAAAACTGTTATATCAGTTTCTTCAAACGAAATTGGTCTCCGTTGATTTTTATTTCTCGCTCTAGCTCTCTCTCTGTTTTCCACTTTGATGTAGACATTAAAATTTAGTCGAAAGAAGGACTCGGCTTTGCTGTTGTTTTTTTCTCTCTTTAAGTCCGGGTGGCCATGGCATTCACCGCCGAAACGCGCGGACTGCATCCCAGCTTACATGAAGGGGTGGGACGTACGTACGGACGATTTGGTCATCAATCCAAAATTTCTTGGATGCATATAGTTAACCAGATTTTCTTACCCATGGTGCTCCGCTTCGCGCGCGCGAGATCCCCGCTTTAAAACGAAGCACAAGTCGTTTTTAAGTTCTTGATTCGGTTGCAGTGGAACTTGTAGATCCCATGCTGGCCTGGCTGAATTTTGGCTTCTTGTCATGTGTTAAAATTGATTGATAGACTTTTAATCGATAGAACACCCGATCATGAAGCTAAATACGGAGCGGCATAAAGACACAGCGGGTGATTAGTTAATTGATCCCATTCGGCTGATGTACAGTTATACCTCGGCTAAAAGATTACCCGGAAAGGTCCAAAAACGTAAAAGTTAATCGGAATGTGGAGCTTTTAAAGACACAGCAAAGTTTTAGATAAAGCGTTTGGTCATTTACAGGCATTCAGGGCATTTAAGTCCAATCTACCAAGGAAGAAGTTTAGTTTTGTCCGGGCAATGTAGTTGTCCGGTAAAGAAGAAGGTAGCATATTCTCTTCTCCTTATGGACCAGAACTTCTTTCTCGGGCAGGTTTCTCCCTCATCTTATTTTTGGCCCTTATGCGTCTGCAAATCCCCGGTTGGACAAAAGCTGGACAGCCCTAACCAAGATAAATCTTTTATATAATTATCCAGAGGATAAGTATTAGGACAAACGATTGCGTTATTTATTCAGGGGCACCCAACGGCAATTTTCGGGAAAATATCTGTTCGGAAGACGATTTGAGATCTAGAGTTTTCGGAGCATTTGTTGTAAAATTTCTTGCTTGCCTGCCTCCTAGGATTTTCGAACATCGACAAAATGGTATAATTACCCATTTTTAACGGATTTTGACCCTAAAAAAAGGCCACCTAGAATTTTCGGGAGCCTTCTCCTGGCTGAATTTTTCGAGAAGGTAAGGTTTTATCCCTATAATTTTCGGATCACTAGACTTTCCGCTAGGAAATCCGAACAGATGAAAAGTTTTTAGGGGATAAAAATATGCCTATATTTACCGTTTGAATACTAAAATACGTTCAACAATGCTATGTTAAGTGGTTTTGAACTATATCCTCGTTGGGTGCCCCTGTTTATTGGACAGAGATTTGTTAACTGGATAGCTTAATCCAGCTTTTGACCAACTACGGCCTGAAGCGGACTGAATAGGGCGTAAGCATATAGCGTCGAAAGGAAGAACATGTTGGTGTACCCCCAAGAACTGAGCTCTGATTTTATGGGATATCTCCTATTTTTTGGTACACCAACATATAGTAGACTACAAGCAGGTACTGGTTTTTCTTAGTCCGTCTAGCGAAACGCGGGAGAGACGAAAAAGGCCACTGTTAAATACGTGTATCACTCAGATGAAACTGAATCAACATGATATGGTCACTCTGCATGGCCTCGTATGCAAAGTCCCCCATCGGGTGTTTGCTGCGCCTAGCTACTTGCCACATTAATGTTTGTTATTTTTACCTTTTGGTTCTGTAAAAGGTCCTTTATTAAAGACGGAATCAACTCGGTTGGTTTTGTTACATCCACACTGGGGGGGAGGGGGGGGGAAGATATGATTGGACTAAGAGACTAACACATAGTTGGTAGTGACCGTGCATTACTACGATACACTACGATATTAATATAACGTCTCACTTTTGATTATTTAGGAAAATAATGAATCCCCCGTGTTTAATTCATGACCTCTCGATATCTAATGAAAATAAGAGGTTAAATGTCAGCTTTTGGAACTGCAAAATCCCTATTTAACCGCCCAAAAATCACATCATGAAAAAAAAGGCGCCAAGCTGTCTTGGATTAGCCTAAAACAAAAACAATTATTTTAGCTGAATAGTAGGGCATTTCTGTGATGATGTTTTGATGACTATGGTAAAAAGATCAGCACACCATGTGAAAACAATTTAACAGCAATTTTCAATTATCTTAAATCTTGGATGCTTTCAGTACAAATCTATACCTGGTTTGTATTGTCCCAAAAAGGAACGTCTCTTGTTTCAAAAACAAACCAGTAAATAGGCAAATGAATAAATGAACAGATTCCTAACGTCATTTGTAAGCATGAAGCTTGAAAACGCAAAGCTTTGTGTAGAACTTAGAGTAAGTTCATCCGTCACTTAAGAACTGGTCTGATACACCTGACACTAAGAGCAGCTCCTCTTAATAGTGTTGTTTAAGTTCGACTTAATGTGGTAAACAAAGAGTCTGTTATTATAATAGTGTTTAGCTGTATGATGTCTGTTTCATCATGTACTAATACACTCTTTTTTTATATATAAGAATGTTGTTTTTTTCGGGCCAGGCTGGATATTCTTATTTTTCTGCCGATTTTAGCCTGCAAATATTCTTGTATTATTCTTGAAATCGAATTGAAAAGAAGGAATTTATCATATCCCTTTTGCGGTTTGTTCATTTTTTTTGGTTGTATACTATAGATATGTATATTTCATGTACCGTTCATCGAACTGTCATTAGCACTGAACATTTGGCTATCACCAATGCAGGTTTCTTCGTTTTGTTGGATAGTTTTTCCGCAGGAGGAAGCAATAATTTGAATACGGTTAAGTTAAAAACATATAATTTTTTTAGATTTTCATCACTCAAAATAATCATCCTTTTCGAAATCTCAGCCTCGGGTTTATTCTTAAAATATTCTTAAATTTTGCAAATTTCAGCCTCGATATTCTTATAAAATATATTCTTATAGATAAAAAAAGAGAGTGTATGGGGTTTTAGTAACATGCCCTGTAAGCAAGAGGGGGAAGGGTTCTCTCGTTTAGGGGGGTGGCAATTGAGATCTTTTCCTTCCCGAAAGTTCTCTCCGAATGAGGTAACCGAAGAACTTGCAATTGGCAGTAACTTTCAGAGTAAACAGAAAATTCTTGTTTAAACCATGACTACTCCTTACCATTTTCCTTTTTTTCACTGAAGTTCCTCCGTTGTGCTACTCAGAGACCCATTCTATTTCCAAGGAGAAACGCTCAGTTTTGATATCGGTTTCACGATCACAAACCGGGGCCTTTATGTTTGTTATCCATTCGAAGAATGACAGTGCTGTTACCTTTGGAACTCTTATAATAGGAAATTGTTCGTTTTTCATTATTTCCTGAGTGGAAAGTAGAGGCTGTTAGGAAGATTAAAATTAACCTTCCGCTTTTGATATCTTTTGACTTAATCTTGAAACAATGCTGAGTATTGTCCAAAATGATATTCTCAAACTGCAGGTTTCAAATAGAGCAAACGAAAAACGAACGAGAAAATTGAAGTTGTAGTTGATTAAAATTCAATTCGAAACCTAAGCAAAAATTTGATTTAGCAAAGAGAGAATTGAATTGAAAGAAAGTG